TTTCTTTCTTTCTTTCTTTCTTTCTTTCTTTCTTTCTTTCTTTCTTTTCCTGCAAACCTCTCAGGATATCCAGTGAACACTCGCCAAAGCTTCAGATCCGGAGCCACAGTTACCTGAGGGCAGTGAGCGAAGTCTCAATCAACAGGAGCTTGGACAGCCTGGACCCTGCAGGGCTGCTGACATCCCCCAAGTTCCGCTCACGCAATGAGAGCTACATGAGAGCCATGAGTACCATCAGTCAGGTGGGTGCATGCATCCAGGGCATCACTCTCACCAAACCAAGTAGAAACTCTGTTTTGCTTAAAATAGACTCAAGCTATTGCATGCTACATGCTTTCAAAACATTTATTTTCTTTTTTTAATATTTTCACGCAGTTTTGTTTGTGAGAATGCAACATCTGTTAATGCCATAGCCTTCCTTTTGCAAAAGGATAAGTGGAACAATATGCAGTTTGTTTGAAGCAGAAGCAGTCTGATCTTTTATTTACCTTTTCCAAAAGCAGGTGCTCATTAGCAGTGTCTTTATACATGTGTCTTAAGGATCTGGTCTGAAATCAAATTCTCTAAACATCCCTCAAAAAGTCATATAGAAGCTGATTGTAATGCTAAAGGAAAATGAATTCCACAGTATTTTGTGTTTTACAATTCTTACAAGAATATTACTATATTTTCAAAGCTTTTGTTATCCTGTTGTATACATCAGAGTTGTATACATCCTGAGTGCCTCTGAACTTTTCACCTTCATAGTACAAGTATCACAGAATATTTTAAGTGCAGAGGTCTGCTTATGTTATTGACCAGAAGTTCTGTAAGACTCTTCTGTGTTCATTCTAATCTAGAAGAACAAGAAGTCCCACTTATTCAGTTTATGAATTTTTACATCATAAAGTAGTCTCTCCTTGCCTACAATATGCTTGTGCAGTTAATTTGGCCAGGGACAAATCTGAAAGAAGTGCAAAAGTGCCAGCATTTCACAAGGCAGTGGGACAGTAGTTCATCTGCTAAATCCTGTAGCTCCTTGGTGTGACTTTTGGCTTGTTTGCTTAAGCGCATCATTCAGATCAATCTCTTGGATAAAATAACTTTGTTAAGCAGGTCAAGAAGCATAGCAGACAGGATTTGTGATGCTGTGATTCCCTTTAACATTGGAATGTCAGATTACCAAATGTCAAAAAAAAGCAAGTGATGTTATTGATAGTAAGACTTCAGCTGTAACAAATGTATGAGGCATTCAGTATGAATTTGTAGTTTGAGTTTCTGTGATATTTTTTCTTTGGACATTGTAGCTTGAGGTTATTCACCTATGTATAATATAATGAAGCACTTTGCATAAGGGTTGATGCTCTAGCAGAAGGGTTAGGATGTATCTAAGAGAAGCAGCATGGGAATGAAAGCCTCAGAGGAAACTATGTGAACATTAGGTTAGCTTTCTTATTTAGCTGGACACAAAGCTCTTAGACAAAGCTGCCTGTCAAAGAATTAGTGCCATTTGTCAGTATGAATAAGAAAATATTTTTTAAAGTCTTAATTCAGAAATGTTTATGCAGGGATATCACTGTCCTCCACCATTTTCTATATCATGTACTCTCTGTGATCTTTCCATACTATTTTAAGCAACTTCCCAGTGATAAAACAATATGTTCTACTTTTTAAGATTTCCTTTTTCGTTTATGTGTACAAATTACTTGGCATAATGCTTTCCTTATTAAGAGCCATCCTATTTTTTTTCTTTCACTCTAAGTCTTACCTTCTAGAATGTTGGTTTTCTGCATGCCTGAAAAACAGCAAAACCCTTAAGTGATGTTTTTTGTGTGTGTATTTCCTACAGTGATAATCATTATGCTTTAATGCCAAGCTCAGGACTCAGTTATGAGTTTAGAAATATAAGCATCCATTCATATATAAGCACAGATAAGTGATTTTCAGGTTCGCAAGATCTGCAGCAAAGCTGCATACCTTTAACTGTTCTTGAACTTGTGTGGAGTGGAAGTCTTTGTCACCACCTAGTGTATGCTCCACAAAGGGTCTAAAGTTTCCCTGGCACATTTCAGCTCTCAAAGGAGTCAGCCAGAATATGTAGTTATACAAAGATTTCCTCCCTGCAGCAAAGCTCCTTCCCATACCAGCCTCCTCTTTCCCACTATTTATTAGTGTGTCTGCACTTAAGCTTCCAGCCCCTCAGCTCTGTCACTGTCACTGCCTTTGGCTTGCATTGATTGTCCCAAGGTTAAGCTGACCTTTATTTTTTTCAACCATCAAAGAAAGTGTGATTTTTGTTTTTCAGTGTAATGGTCGTAATTGTCAGAGCTTCATCTTCCTGAGCTGAGGAAAGCCAGGCGCTTTTATGGAGACACAGCTTCCCACTGGTCTTGGCTGGAATCGAGGGCTGAAATAAAAATCTCTGCATAAAACCTCTACTTTTCGCATGCTGAACCTGATTATCTTTGCCCACAGGTGAGTGAGATGGAGGTGAATGGTCAGTTTGAGTCCGTCTGCGAATCAGTGTTCAGTGAGCTTGAGTCTCAGGCAGTGGAGGCCCTGGACCTGCCAATGCCGGGCTGCTTCCGTATGAGGAGCCACAGCTATGTGAGAGCCATTGAGAAGGGCTGCTCCCAAGATGATGAGTGCATATCACTGCGGTCGTCTTCTCCCCCGCGAACAACCACTACAGTGAGGACCATCCAGAGCAGTACTGGTGAGTAACAAGATGGGAAATGCACAGGGGTGACAAAAATGAAGGTACCTTTCTGTGCAGCTCTGTCAGCTCAGCCATCAGATCTCTTCCAGACCCAAACCCTTGAGTCCATTTCAGCAGGGAGCTGGACTGAGTAATCAGCTTGAAACTAGACACTGACCCAGACTGATGCAGTTGTGTTGTTTACTGTGTCCAAGCTAATTTATTCTGTGCTCAGGGCACACAGAAGGGAAGTCCAAGGTCATATCTCCTCCTGCTCTCATCCCCAGAAGAGCAATTGCAATTTAGCGAGGCTGAGTAAGAAGGCTGTGGGCTAGCAGCTCTGCTGGCTTTCACCAGCAAAGGAGGGTTCCTCAGCTGAATTTTGCTTTGAGAGATGTTGTGCTTTCTGTAAGTTGGAAGTTACTGGGTGTACTGATTAGCAGCTGGTACAACTCTTTAGCTGTATTATAGGGTTGGAAATGAAGGAGAAGTCTGCAAGACAAAACATGCATGTTCACACCTTGTTGTTACTCCTTCTACAGCAAAAATGACTCAAGGAGAGGTTTGGATCTAAATATGAGAGATATAAGCACTTCTCAGAGTTGCTTTTCTTTTGGAAATAACCACGATGAATTCCAGATACTGATGACAGAATTAGTGCTTTGTGGGAAAGAAAAGCAAGTTAGAAACCAAAATCCTAATCCATCTCTTGTATTCAGAACAGCAAGAGGCAGGAACCATTGCGTGCATGTGCTCTTTGTCAGAGAATAAGGGACGGCATCTTTCTTCCAGCTCCTCTGCTTTACACAAACTTCATTTACTATTCATGTACTCTTCGTATTTATAACTAATATTTACTGTTACAGTTTTTCACTGTGCCCACTATCTCTCTTCCAGGTTCTGTAGCTTCTGTTTTCGGTATTCTCAACTTTTGTTTTTTTATCTCCTGTCTTCCAGCGGCAGTTTTTTGTACATTGCAGGTTCCTAATCTCTCATTCAAGTCTTTTTTATAAAGCCTCTTGTCAATTGGTTTATGTCATCAAAGGATGCCTTCAATCCTTTTAACCAAAAATGTTCAGCTTAATTCATGATTTTTCTAAAAGTAACAAGTCTAAGTACTGTTGGAAATACATTGGCAATACATGACAGGCATCAAGCATTCTTAACAAATGCCTCAGAGGAGTTCTCGTCTAATTCACTCACCATTAAGAAATAGCGTTTGTCTGACAAAATTTCTTCTGCAAAGTAGTGCTTGCATGCATGAAGGGTTTGCACCACACTACAAAGACAGGATTTACATAGGGTGTGTGTTACTTCATTGCAGGGCTTTAGCTTGTGTCAAACGTTTTGAGGCAAAAGCTGAAGGATGGGGATTTTTGAGTATTTCTATCTGTGGATCACCATGGCCATCTCTTCATTTATTTGTGAATAATTTTATTAGTTTTTGGGGTTTTTTTTAATAAAATAGCTGTTCATTAATCCGTGAGACAATAACTTCAACCTTTATTTAAGAGTTTGTTTCTGTCACTTAGAATAACAGTACTCCTGTTTGGGGATGCATGGGGGGTATAAAAGGGGTGTGTAAGTGGAGAAGGGGGCTGTATGCACCAACCAAATGTACTTGGAAAACCCATAAGAGGAAAATATTTATTGTAAATTGTCTCTGGTTCTTGCTGCTGTTTTGTAACGCAATTACAGAGTTCTGATCTCTTCTCTGGGTAGCTGGCTTTATTAAAAAATCTTAGGAACAAGGCTTTGTTATTGAAAAATGTAATCCACTGGGTCTATCTCGCGTTACTGCTTCTGTAGACAGCCCCTTCAAACCCAGAGAGATAAGTGATTTGCAGCTCTCTCCTTGGACATCCATTGAGGCATTAAGAAACTGCTGCAGATACATTTTCTGCTGTGGGAGTTTTACTGAGTTATGTTTCTCATTTTTTTAATTCTTGGACTCCCAAAGGTCCATGCTTTGTGTTGGTATTTCAGACATCTTTTATTACCTTACTTACATTCCTTCATCCATTTAATGAGGATTAGTGCTGAATTAACTCCATCCGAAAACATCTGTATTGACTACCTTGCTGTTGCCTTGACTGGGAAAGCAATCCTAGGAAAGACTTCTTTGATTTCTAATAATACTGGCCTCAATAAAATAACAAATTATATGGCAGTGAGGCAGATACAAAGAAAGAAGGAAGAGAACTGTCTTACCTCTACTAAGGTGATGTTTCAAATGCTTTTGTGGGAGACATAGGGGATAACTATGATCTGAAGTATGGATTTAACATCCCCTAATGAGAGAGCTGTCCTCCAGAAACACCTCTGCCTGTTCAGCCGAGGGAGGTTTCTTTCATCAGCAATAGATCTTTCCTCAGGGACTTGACTTCTCATTCACTAATGCTCAAAGCTGTGATCATACAGTAATAGTGGGAATTTGTTTGACTGCTGATAGTACAAGAAAATGCCAGCATGATGGCAACTGAAGAGAAAAAATGCCATCTGCATTCAAAACTATTCCTCCAAAGAAATGGCCCACAGACTTCCAGGGCATCTGAATAAAAATATTGAAATAAATGTATGCTACAGTGGTAGCTGCCTTAGGTTCTAATTTCCTTTTACCACATACGTTCTAAAATTATTGGCACACCATCTTTTGGGTTCCTGGTCACCTCTGTGGCCTGCTCTGATCTTCATGCAGCTGCAGCAGCATGGTGAGGTGACTGCACCTGGCTTCCGTGTGCATCTGGGAAGAGAGTACTTCATTCATAAGGCAGTCTTGTAGGCTAGGTATTGTTTTATTCTTGGTTTTAAGAGAAGGACTATGAAATGAGAAGAGAAAATGTGAGTTTACCGTTTAATGTGGTGGTAGCAATGCCTGGGAAAGAAGTGCCCCATCACAACCTTACCATGCTGGAGGGCTAGGAAGTTGAAGAGGTCCAGCCACCCCAGCTGGCCTCAGAGCTGGGCTGTGCAGGCTGAAAGCTCCCGCAGCCCCAGGGTGCTACCATATGTTGTGCAGCATAGCCTGTGCTAAAAGTTACTACCCATATCATTTGGGCTCTTCAGAGGAGCTTAATGAGGTGTGAATTAGTACATAATTTGATCCCTGGTTATTTGCAGATGCCACCATTGTAGCTGAAACTCTTCGGCCAGCAGATTCAGACACTAAACAGGCAACATTTTAAGAATTTCAAATGCTTTTAAATCATTTCAATGTGCCTAAAGAATATAGTGATTAAGAAACAATAACATTTTAAGGTAGTCTAAAGAATATCTCCTGTCTGACTTGTACAATGTAGGAAAACCTTGTATATCCTGTTTCTAAAGCATGCCTGTGCAGCCATGCACTCTCCTTTGCAGCACAGATAAATCATGTGGTGTTGTGAGGGCTCAAGCATTAGCATATGTGGATGCAAATACATGATTAAGACTGGATATGTTTACATTGAAAATGTCACCTCTGTAGCTGAGCTCAAGCAATAATATCAGGAAATAATCTGCATGGATTGCATTAGGCATTTTTCAATATCTAACTTACGTACACTTAGATAAACAGAAATATCAGAATTATCTGCAGCAATGCCATCTGGTGATTCCCAGTAATATTACACTTCATATTAAAAGCAAAGCAAACAAAAATCCCAAGGAAATCATGCTGTGCAGCCAGCAGGTTAGAGAAGGACTGAGAGTTATCGCAGTTTATGCTAATTATGGGGCTTCAGCTGAGCAAGCTGTTCTCCTTCCGTTCTCTGGAACATCTGACCAAGAGGGGTCAGGTACTTTGTGGAAAATCTCTAAGGGGCTGCCTAGCCAATTGGGGAAAAAAAAGCAAATGGCATTAAAAATAGACTTGTGCCAGGTGGAATTCAAGAATAAAATCAAAGCCTGTGGAGAAGGATGCTGGAACTGACTGTACCCCAGCTGTGTCCAAGCTCTTTGGGACTCTTCAGGACTGTCCTTTCAAAGACCGTTCTGTCCAAAAAGAAACAAGGAATGAGGATTTCAAATTTGGTTTCCAAATGAAGCCAGGGTTGTTTTCTGGATTTGTACCAAAAATGAAAGTATCTCTGCAGAAAGCTTGAAGAAATACAGTGAAATTAAGACCTTCTGCAGATGCTGAACCTAAAAATAGATTTGGAGTGTTAGAAAACTGTTTGACAAAGAATTTATATGGTTCATTTCCTCTGTTTCCCTGAGTAATCCTGACATGCAGTGTGCCTTTGGATCCACTATCAGATTGCTTAAACCAGCACTTAAGAATGTTTTCCTTTACTAATGAAGAGCTGACCTTGGAGAAGAACACTGTTTCTAATTTCAGAGGCATCTGACTGTAGCTTGAGCAAGTTTCATCTTCTCTATCCCAAAAGTTGGCTTTATGAATTTTAAGATCCACATCACCCGTGCACATACATGCACACACACATACACACAAAATGTTTTTGAAGCTGGTGGAGGTTTTTAATGAGAAAAACTGAGACCACAGCTCGTGCTGAAAAATTTCTAACTGACTTGAAGCATGATGCTGGCACTCATGGAAACTGTTCTGATGAAAATTGCCTGAGACGGGGGCAGGGTTGAGATATGAGAGTCAGCCCTGGAAATGTTAGCTGTACTCAACACTTGGCAGGTTGGTTTGTGTGCTGTGTAATTTTATGCTGAGGTTAGGAACTGAAATAAGTCTGATAAATTCTGTTTTACCTTTTGGGCATACAGAACTCTGTGACCAGGAAGATGGGATTACTGGAATAAATATTATATGGGTCCCTACTTGAGAAATGCTTGGTAGTTACAGCTGTTTGCCATTTAAGCAGTGTCAGGCATTGGGATATATTATACCAATTTTTCAACTTCCTTCCTCATTTTGGCTCTTTTCTCTGACTATAAATACTGAATTTAATCTTTAAAACTCTTAAGTTGCTTGGACTTGTGTTGAGACATTCCCAGGACTTAGAAAGACAGCCTTAAGCATTTAAAACTGTGATCTTAAAATGTCACGAAGGACTGTGTTGGTCTTACTT